TGCAAGTGGAGAAATGGTGCAAGACAAGAATGGACCATTAATGAAGATAATAGAGCAAATAGAGTACTAATAAAGCACTAATGGAGGACAAAAGTGGAGCATTACCTTCAATGGATTAAGCACTAGGCAATGGAGGATGAGTATACACATTCAATGTATAATAGGTCAGAAAAATGGGTCGTGAAGTGCCCCACCTGAACCAATACAAAAACTGGGCGAATCTGTCTCTAGACGGTTGATCGGCTGGACACCTGGGTAGTTAACCAGCTGGACAACTGGGTGGTCGAACGGCTAGAGAAAAAATGCCCATTTCACTCCGGTTCAACTCCGTTTCGCTCTGGTTCAGTCCAATTTCACACCGGATGTCCAATGGGGCTTAAACACTTGACCAAAATAGGCTTAGGGTTCGGAATAAAGCTCAAATTCCATCTCTCTTCCTGAGGATTGTGTGAGAAACACATTTTGATTGTCATCATCGAGTAATCAAAAGGAAGCGCCCAAGTCTTAGGACCAATCAAAATAGAGTGTCTACAGTCAACCATTACAACCTGTGGCTCAATTTGAAAGAATTATGCATGAAACATTTCCTCTATTTATGGTCAAGTTAAATCCAACCAGGTAACAGACTAATATACCAAACAAATGTTGGGCCAGTTAATGAATTAGGAAACAATCAAAGCTTCATCTAATCGTGATTCATATATTCCCCACACTATCTTGTGAATTTAGCAATGTGTTCTATAGTCAACTGGTTTCCATCCCCCCTACACAGGATAAAATCTGGGACTTTGTACACCTTTGGAAACTCATGTATCCTATCTACCCATAGTTTTCTATAAACTGGTGTTTGCACCCCCTAAGCCATGGGATAATATACTTCTGGCACCATGTTAAGCAATCGGTCCTTAGGAATAACATTAAGGACATCTTGTTAAACTTGATGGGGCACATATCCTGGGTAGAGTTGTTGTCTAGGGACTTGAGGCAACACATTTGGCATGGCTGGCACAAAGGGTGCAGCCATTCAGTCCAAAGGATACACCGCAAGATTTGGTGCTTACTCATATCCTATGATGTCTCATTCCTTAAGTGGAACAAGTGGTGGTCTAAAAGGTTTTGCCGACCCCCCGAATATAGTTTCAAAGATTGGATTTGACACCATTCGTGTGGTATTCTGCGTTTGAGCTTGTGTAAGACCATGAGTAGTGTTACCAAATGCATTCAAAGGTAACACCTGAGGCTCTCCTTACACAATATGTGTTTCTTGAGCGTTAGAGTCTCTTCAATAAGGCCTTAGACCAATAGAAGATGTAGGTCTAATCGGTTCATAAAAAAATTGAGTGTTTCTTACTCTATTTTTGCCATTATTTTGACTATTACTAGAAACTGCCCTAGACTGGGTTGATGTTTGAGCAGGGCTCCTATTACTTGAGACATGACCTATATTTTCCAACCTACTATCAATTCTTTGAACAAGTGAAACACTAAATGAATTAGACCAAATTTTTAGGTTTGTAGGCATTATTTGGCTCATTATGGACATCATTCCACTTCACTATTTATTTGACATGGTAAGAGTGAATGTTAGTGGTTCACTCCTACTACGACTACTCTGACCAAGCGTTTGTCCTTGAAAGGGTGCATATTCATAAGGTTGGCCTTGCGATGGCCAATATGTTGAGTAGGTGTATCCATCCTTGGGTGAGGATCTTCTTTTACTTCTTGATGGCTATCTAAATGTAGGCTAGAAGCAAAAGAAGGGTCAGTTATGGTTTTTGTTTGAAACAAAAAACCATCTTCGTGTATTTCAACATCTTCGTCGTCTAAATGTTCTTTGCCTTGGTGCTGTGTTCGAACCATAATTTCAACACAAAAAAGGTCCCACAGGGCGTGCCACAAAATATATATTGGCTATTTTTGACACTTCGAATGTTAAAAATGTAACTTGAGCATGCTAACAAGGATTTGAAAAGTCCTTACAAACAATAAATGTCAATTTTATCAAGCGATTGTGTTAAGGTTTTTTTAGCCTCAATGAAGAGGACTTTACTATGTTGTGTTGAAAAGATGAACCAATACTTTAACTCAAATTCGTAACAGAATAAGAGGGATAGACTGGGAAAAAATTGTAATTGATTAAGTGAATAAACAATTACAAAATGTTACCTTTAGTAAGGGTAACTTCGAAACTTTAAACCGACTGAATTTTGGGAGTACAAAGTTAATTTACTCTTATGAGACATAAGTCCAGTGTATAAAAGTAAAGTGCTGAAATTTAAAGATAAATGAAATTGACCAAGATGTAGAGTCTAGATTTGGTCGGGGGCTTTCTTAGTCTTTTATTTCACCTATTTATAGCCTTTCTCTTCGAAGTAGTTAGGCCGATATCTTTCACCATGATCTCCCTCATTCTCACTACTTCTTAGGGCCATAATTTTCTCTTTGTGTGTATGTAGTTGCTAGCAACTGCCCCTTGTTAACTCATTTTTCACGTGCCTCTCACATGTTGCTCATCATTTTTACCGATTGAAGACTAGCATTTGCAGCTCACGTGGGCACCTCACTATCTTATCGAATCCCACAGAATACCATTTGTATGCCACGTGTCACTTGCGAATTAGATGATTTTAATGTGGCGCCAACAACAAAAATCTAAGTAAACCATTTATTTGTTACAAGTTATCACACCTCTTTACTTTTATGCATATTTTTTCGTAAAATGTTACTAAATAAGCAAACCAAAATATTTAATAGAAAATTTAATAAAACTTTTTTTTTTATCCCCTAATATTGGTCTTTATGAATTCGTTATGTCTAGGGGTGCAAGTCGGGGAGGTTTGATAGGGTTGAGAGGTTGCCAAGCCCAGTTTAAATTGTGTTGAAACCTACCTAAGCCTCGCCTAAGCCCGATGTTGTCTGTCCAAGTCCAACCCGAGCTAAACTCGAATTGCCTGAGTTGTACATGAATTTCAGTTTTTTTTTTCCAGCTAAATTATTAATTTATTAAAATTAGACTCTATTTACATTTTTCAAAAAGAAAGTATTATTAATATCAAAACAAATAATTTATATGATGTAAGAGAGATGTCGGTATAGTAATCTTTATAATTTATGAATAAGAATAAAAAAAAAGTAAGATTTTATATTATTTATATATATATATATATATATAATATATTCAATATGATTTAATAATTTAAATTACTTTAATATAATGACTATATATATATATATATCTATTATGTTCAGATTGTGTGAATTGTTTAATATATTTACCTAAATCTATCTAAATTTAATTTAAATTTTTAAATTTTTATTCAAATTTATATTAAATTTAAAAATATCTTATTTAAATTTTAAAAGCATTCAAGCTAAACTTGAGCCTGCCTACGTTACATCTTAATTATGCCTACAACTCAAGCCCCGCGTCCTATCAACTCACGAGGTAATTTGTAACAGAAAAATATTTTAAAGGTCTAATTCTTGAGTTTTAAAATTGGGCTAAGTATGACATTTTTAAAAAAAAAGTTAAACAGTCAAAAAAAATTAATATTCTATTTAAGTTATATTATTTTATTTAAATCACCTCACTTTTTTATTACATCATTTTAAACTTAACTTATATTTTAAAAAAAGTCAAAAAGTGTACTTATTTAGAATATTTCAAACAATCCCTTAGTTTTAATGAGTTAGTAATGAACTTTATTTAGACATAGTTGGGATATTTTAAAATAGTCAAAAAGTCATTATCTTATTTAAGTCACATTATCTTATTTAAATCACATCACCTCTATATCACATCACTTCAAATCCAATCCATACCCAACTTATATTTCATAAAAAATCAAAAAATACACTTATTTATATCATCCTAAACCACCCCTTAATGTAATGTGATATTTTTGTCATTCATATTTCATTAAAATATTAAAAGTAATACTCTGAATCACTGTTTGTAATCAGCTGTGTTTGGCCGACGTCTTGATCTGTCAGTCGATGGTAGTACCAACCTCCCGGTACCACGGACCGACAGGTTAGCACCGTTCTGGTAATGTGTGAATTAGATGCTCACGCACGTGGTTGTTACCGGACCAGCCGGTGCACTACCTCAGATATCTGTTACCCGTGCTCATCTCCTTGTATTCTTATCCTACATTACATGCATATCTTACGTTAAATTTCCTAGTATTCTTATCTTACAAACATATCTTATGTTAAATTTCTAGATTTTCTTGTTTTTTATTAATCCATTATACTAAATATTAAAAATACAATTAATATATAATACTTCTCAAATTATAATCGTGTTTAAAATAAATAACAAAAAAAAAAATTCATTATATTTTTATATTTTTGTATATTTTTTTATTTTTTAAAAATATTTTTGTATAAATATTTTACTTTTTAGGTATATTTATATTAGGTACATTTAAAAGGTAAAAAATTTAATCAAAATATTAAAAATATTTAAGTACATTTAAAAGGTAAAAAATTTAATCAAAATATTAAAAATATTTACTAAAATAGAAAAAATTAAAAATCAAATTTTAAAAAAATTAAATTTAAAAAATTAAAACTGAATAAGGCGAAGTTTAGGAAGTCTCAAAAAAGTAAAAAAAGTCAAAAATTTACTCAAAAAGTTATCACTATTCATCGAAAGTCAACAATTACGGCTGCACAACTCTCAATACTAATTTTTCCCTACACATTAATTTATATAATTTTTTAATACACATTTTTTCATAAAAAGTCAAAAAATTAATCCAAATATTCATATTTTCAACCTCAACTTTTTAATCTAAAAAAATAAAAAGTACACTTATTTAGAATACCCCAAACAACCCCTAACATTTATAGAATTTATTAAATGAAATGGTTAGGAGTGTAACCCAAATAAAAATTAAACGGTCATGATTAAAAAAAAAACGCACATACACACCCAAAAACAAATAAATTTCTCTCCCTCTCTCTCCTCTTTGCTGCAGTTGGAAGCATTCCGGAGTACCGAGTGTTTTGCATTCTCTCTCTCTCTCTAACTTCTAGTATGCAAAAAGCGTTTCGGGTGAGAATTTGGTTTTAGGGTTTGTGGTGCAGGAAAAGAGAGAGCTGCTTCTCTGTTGGATCCGCTGAATTTTGGGGGATTTGACTCGAATTCGAGTTGGTCTGCTTCGAATTTTGTTGGGTTTTGTGTCTAATCTGAAATGGAGAGAGACTTCATGGGTTTGAATTCAAAGGATTCAGTAGTTGTTGTCAAGGAAGAGACTGATGAAGGATGTAAAGACTCAGGTACTACTTGTACACATACATCACAAATGTTATTTTGTGGCTAAATTACATTGATTTGTATTTTTTTTTTTTCAGGGACCAAGAAATTTATTGTCTTTTAGTTTTGGGTTAACATGAAATTTGGCTGTGTTTACTTCACTTTTCACTGCACAACAGTTGAGAATTTTCATTTTCATTTTTCTTCTTCTTCTTCTTCTTCTTTATTTATTTATTTTATTTTTTATTTTTAGTTAACTTTGCATGATGTGGTTTTTGAGATTTGCGGTGCTTCTCAGGGGTGAGACCAATTTATGGTAGTAACTTAGATGTGAACAAATGAATGGGTGTATGGTGTAAATTTCCAATTTATGGTAGTAACTTAGATGTGAACAAATGAATGGGTGTATGGTGTAAATTTTCTTTTTTCCCTCTTTTTTGGTAGTGTTTGTTTTGGAGACATTCAAATTTCGGATTTCACAAGTTGAGAGAGATATAAAAGAGAAATAAAGAATTCTCACTAGTTCTTAGATTCATGAGCCTTTCAACTAAGTGGGATCTTTCATTTTTTTTTTTTTTTTTTCAGCCAAGAATGATTTATTAAAATCTTTGAACCACAAATTTAACTATTATCCCCATCATGCAGTTCAAGGAGTTCAACAAGAGACTGGATTTTCAAAGTTGATGTTTCATGCCTCTTTATGAAGCACAAATACTTTCAAAGTTGATCTTTCATTCACTTTTGTGTCGTGTCGCGTGTCCTTCCTACACATTTTTAGGTCCTTCATCATGCAAATATGGTCCTTTTTTTAATTGAGGCAACATTGAATCAAGACTTGGTTCAAGCCTCCTAATGGCCGTGAATAATGAATGAGAGATATTGTGAGCTAAACGGGTTTTATTTTGGAACTGATTCACCCATGTTGGACCGTCACGAGGGGAGGAAAAGCACTTTTAGAACAATGACAATGTTACTCCTAGACTCTCATAGCTATTGTTCTCTACTCTTGTTTTTTGCCTATCTATATTATTTCTTATCATTGTTATCATAATCTTTGTGGTTAATTTTTGTTTATTATTTTGCTAGACTAACAATATGGAACTGCAACATTGATATCAACTTACCTAACTTTTCTATGAGATTGTTCTTAACTATTAACAAGAAATAAGAAACTAGGTGCTTGCACTCTTAGGAGTGAAATGCGAGGCAAGACTTAAGTGCTTGCAAGGAGAGACTGTGAGTTCATCTCCCCCTTGGTGCCAATCTACCAACTCACCATTGACTTTGCCCCAAAAAAAAAAAAAAAGAAGAGGAAGAAGAAGATGGATCCTTATTATATCGTTTATAGGATAGTTTAAAAAGGGGGGGAAAAGAAATAGTCACAGTTAAAAAAACAGAAACTCCGCAATTAAGAAAAGACAACATGCTTTCACAAGTCATCACTAGCCAAGAGAATAAAAACTTTCTAATATCATTTGGTAACAAGTTTCTCAAGGACAGTTGTTCATCATCCTCCTTTTCTGAATTTTTCAATTTTCAATTTTGTTTTGTGATTTGTGCTCAAGGGTGGCCTTTTATTGGTTTTGTCATGACTCTGGCCATGACAAAATGAGTGTGTTTTCTGTGGCAGCAGTTGTTAGAAACCACCACTAGAAGTTCCAAGCTGTGGCAGCGGCCAGCACAAACTGTTGCTACAAGTTCTGTTAAAAACCTGTACACTACATTAAGTTTGAACTTCTAACTACAGCCCACAGTCATAGTATCAATGCACATGGTCAGTATGTAATGGTGAGCCGGGGCTTAGAAAGATGTGCATTATGTTAGAACGATTCTTGGAATTTTAAACATTTGGAATATAGAGTATGTTCATTGTAATTTACAATGAGAAGTGTTATATCAGTTTCCATTTTTCTGTTTTCGATAACAAAAAAACAGGCTTCGAAAATGACACGAAATACACCCCAAGATTTCCACTTGAGTTGATGTCATGCTTTATATCGCACAGTAGTTATATTCCTGTTTTGAATGGTTGTATAAGCTAGCAAGCTAGCACGCATTAACTTCTCTGTCTAAAGAATAAAGCACCCTGAAAAAGTAACCAATAAGCTCTGTTTGTTTGTGGCTTAAATATTGTGATTTGTTTTTATGATTGTGTCATTTTCATGTTTCGTAATCTTTTGAAACTATTTTAATGTTGAAGTCTCTTCATGCAATTGTCTATCAAATTTGACTATTGTGATTTGTAGTGTTTCTTTATAGATGCTTTTTGGTGTTAAACCATAGACATGTATTGAACCTTACTGGGTGCTGTTGTTCACCTTTGTGGAATTTTTAGCATTTTCAAAAGGTTCAGGAGTTCAGTGGTCATTGTCAAACAAGGTTTCTGCCCTTCCTCATTTCTTGTCCTTCAATGTTGGTCAAGAGGAAAAGACCACAAAGCCCGTGTCTAATCCCTTTGCTTCTTCTGGATTCAAGGCTATATCAACTGCAGATGCATTTGACACCACTCACAAACGCCCCTCGGGAGAAATGCAGGTTTGGTTTTATTCCTTTTGTTTGAATAAAAGTATGATTGCATTTTCAGGGATTATTTGGGTACCATGTCAGAATTAAACAACTCCAGCTTGCTCAGTTTGAAATTTTTGATGAGTTCACATTTCTTTTTTTTGTTTTTGTAGCATTTATAGAATTCCACTGCATGAATTAGAGTTTTTAGAAAATTTTGGAAAATAAGAACATTTGGATTACCATTATCAATTTTGAGATGTACTGCTTTCACTTCAAGAGATTTCTTTATGCTTTTAGATGTATAAGTAAGTGGGAAGATATGTTCTACAACGGTTTGTTTTATTAATCCCAAAAAAATCTAAATTGTTCTCGGTTTGGTTGAGTTTCAATAACTTGTTTTATGATATATAATTTAAAACTAGTTTGACAAAAATAAACACTAGAAAAATATTTTTGAATTTTCAAAAATTATTTCAATCCCAAAAAAGAGAAAATCATATGAAAATAATGAATGTTTTTATATTTTCATTTTTTTCACCAACTTAGCGGTTGAAAAAATTTCAGAAAACATATTTTGAAAATTCCACCAGACAGTGGTTTTTCAACAATATTCTCTATTAATTAGTTGGGTAAATTACATCAAGTACCGTGAAGGGAAGTGAGATTTTGGTGAAAGAGTAAGGTGCACATATGCTTCAAATGACAAATTTTGTCAACTTCGTTAATTGTAGATGGATGGAAGGGTGAGATTGCAACTTGACTTAAAGTGTAGGGACTGTTATAATTGAAAATGAAGGGACCAAAGTGAGAATTTAGTGAAAGTGCAAGGGTACTAAGTGGGATTTACCCTAATTAGTTTATCATCAATTGTCAGTTCTTTATCTAAGTCAACTGATATTTGTGTTTTGTTTTATTCAATGGTTTTTACTATATAGAAATTTCATAATGGACAAGGTGGCACTCATTTTTCAATGACGACTTATCCTGTGCAACAAAATCCTCTTTCGATGCATCTTTCTCACAATGTTAAGATGGTTCAAGCTGCAAACCAACCAATTTCAGTTTCCATGAGCAACCCTTTCTTCAAAACCCATTTTTCTTCTGCTGGTCAGAACTGTGCAGGTGCTGCCATGAATCAACAATTACTTGGAGGGACCCCTGTTACGGCACCACATTCGATACTTTCTTCTCTTGGTTCTGTTGCGGGAACCACTGAACCATGGTACCTAATAGTTTTATGGTTTACTGCATTTAATCAAGTAAAATATGTTCTCAACTATAGAATTGTAACAATAGAGAGCATGAAAACAAAAGGGTAAATTACACTGAATTAGTTCGGGTCTAGTTAGCCTTGCACAAAGGGAAGTCAGTCTAATTATGTCAAAATTATTGGGCTTGGTGTATTTTTTTCCAAACTTCAGGGGAGGTCTGTGTAATTTACCCAAAACAATAATAATGCCACAAAAAATGCTTGACCAAAAGTAATAAACAAAACTACAAAAAACTGAAAATCTTAATTGGAGTGATATATTGTAGGTTCAATTCCAAGTCCTCTGGGGCTCCTCAATTAACCATTTTCTATGCCGGTTCAGTGCATGTGTATGATGATATCTCCCCTGAGAAGGTTCTCTCTCTCTCTCTCTCTCACACACACACACACACACACGAGCGCGCGCGCGCGCACACTCGCACATACAAACAAAGACAACTTTCCTTGGCTATTAATTACAACTCTTTCCTTGTAATGAAGATCAGCTCACTTTCAGCTTGTTTATTTCTTTTAATTTTTTGTGGGTTCATCCAGGCTCAGGCTATTATGTTCTTGGCGGGGAATGGATCTACCACTGCTTCTAACATGGCACAACCAGGAGCTCAGGTTCAGGTCCCTGCTTCCAAACAAGCTGGTGGAGATGGTGTTCTTGTCAACCAGCCTACTAATACGACACTTAGCTCTGCTCTTTCAAGCCCCATATCTGTTTCTTCACATCCAATCGGTCACTCTGGTAGTGGGCCTACTACCAATGATGAAGTGATGGCAGTTAAACCAACTGGGGGTTTGAGCATTCCGATTAACAAAGCAGACCCTCCAAAAATAGTCACTTCTCTTGCTGCAACTACCATGATACCATCAGGTATGGCATCGTAATGACGGTGATATTTGTGTTTTTGTGACTAGATCTGTGATATTAAGTAACTTCTTGATTAAAAGTGTTTCATGAATCTTGTATGACATACTGACTCTAGTTTTACATGAATATCTTCATAAATGGCTCTAGAAATAATCCGTACGTTGGATGGGTTGATGTTGTGATGAATCTGACGATGATCATGACCTTGTTACATGAAGTTTCATATTTGCTATTGCCTTTACAACTTCCTTGTAGTAGATGTTGATGGTATTACTGAACCTCTCTCATCTAAAGATAAAGATAAATGTGTGCTAAGAAGCACATGCACGAACATGCGACATGACACAAACATGCCAATACGTAGATTTTCAAAAGATGTAGGGCATGACATGCTTGAGACAAGTTAAAATTTTATATTTTTACGAATTTATTATGTCACAGATATGAATAATTTATTCAAAAATAATGGAAAATAACCTAACATTAATTATATAAAAAATTTATAAATTTCATAACTTCAACATAAGATATCATTCATGTAACAATTACATTATAAAGAATGCAAAACAATTACAATATACTTTCCTTTATTTATTTATTTATTTTTGTATTCATAATTCATCTAATAAATGTTTCAAAACATATTTAGTGTTCACAAGTTGTGTTATGACAAAAGCCTAACATTGTTATTGTGAAGGAATTCATCACATAGGACGTGTTTGGAGAGTGAAATGGCACAAGTGTCGACAAAGTGTCGGTGAAGTGTCTAATATTATGAATTTGATTTTTAATTAAGACATGTTGAAGATGTGTTAGACATGTTTTTAGGAGTGTCCAATGACTGTGTCAGACATGACATGCTTCCTTCATAGAAGTATCTGTGCTTCTTAAGAGTGTGTGTGTGTGCGCGCGCGCGCGCGCGCGGGCACGTACATGTTTTGTCTCTGGTGTGAATTTTCCTTTATCTGACATTATGAGCTTGCATTATCAATAGGGGAAGTCAAAAGAGTTACTGAATTATGACCATTGACCATTGATTTGCATTGTGACTGTTGATCTGATATATAATTGTTACAACAGCCATGTGAATTGATATACACTGTCTTTATGCAGCCGTTCCGCAGGCCCGCAAAGCATCATTGGCTCGGTTCCTCGAGAAGCGCAAAGAAAGGTATGTTGTTAAACCTTGCCCTTGGAAACTCTTGGAAAAAATGTCCAAGAGGGAATTGTGACGTATAATTCTTGAACTTTGGTGTCGATATAGTCTTGTAGGCAGTGTTTTTGTGTGCAGAGGTTCCATTTCTAACTGCTATATCTGTTTCTTTTTTGATTGAAGACAGTTTCAGTGATGAGAAGGGCCTCAAGTTGGAGAGCCCTTGTTTAATAGATTCTTTAGAGGGTTCTTAAAAATACACCTATAAAGTTCTCTTCATACCCACCTTTTTGTGAAACACAGTTCCCAATGTATAGTGTAGGTGGTTAGGTGTAGGGATCACGTGTGTGGGTGTATTTAGAAACAACCTTTGAAGTGGATTAGATGTGCCCATCCACTAAGCTTATAAATGCAATAGTCAGAGATTGAGACATATTACATATTTATGCGGTATAGTATATATGTATCAAGGTTTTGTTCTGTTCTGTAATAGTGCAGTTCTGTTCTGCCTAACTTCTCGGACAGTTTCAGGCAATTTCGGCTATACTGGTAATTTTCAGTCAGCAGTACCGTGTGATAGCTATTTTCTATTTTTGGTACTAATTACCACATGTTTGTTTGTAATTACCTTAAAATTGTAAGCCTTATAAAAAATCTCTGTTTGTTACTGTATAATAGCTACACAATGGTATATGTTTTAGTCCTCTTCAGGCACTTGAAACTTATTATAAGTTGGTTTGAAGTCTCTTTTCAGATGTATACATGTCTTTGATAATGTTTATGTTATATTAAAATTATTTAGTGTTAGGTACTGGATTTTATGAATATGTAAAACTCGTGATAAATTTGAAACAGTATCCTAAAACTTTCCCGGTAAGTACATACCATACCAATGAACAAAACGGAAACTTGGCCGGTACGTGATTCAGAACCTTGGTATAGGGCAATAGAGATGGGGATGATGCACTCAATTTCGCTTTTATATATATGGTGTTTATGAGAAACATCTTCCTTGCAATTTTCATAATCAATGATCTGATAAACTATGTTTCCTGATGAGGTTTGTATTTAACAAATGCAGAGCGATGAACTCAGCGCCCTACAACCTCAACATTAAATCTTCAGAATGTGCCACTCCAGGATCCAATGGTCTGACTTTCTCCCCAAGAACTGGTGTTTGCGCTGGCGCTGGTTCTTTCTCAACCGGCATGGAGTGTAGCCATGATGTCTAAGAAGCCAATTTCTGATCTGGAAATTAGTGCAAAATGTAGTAAGGTATAGATGTAACCCAGTGGGTTTTGCTGTCCTTATTTTATTTTTGTAAACCCAACTTGTTAGACCTAATTTTAACTTTTTTGCTTTATATGAAGTTCTAGTGTGTTAATTCATTGGTCTATTTTCTTCTCTTTCTTTACTGTGCCCCAATTTTGACTAGAACTGTGTTTGGGAAAATGAGTAATAAAATTAAAGCTTTATGTGACGGTAGGGAAATAATGCTAGAGGTGCTACCTAATATTGATTTTAGATGAGTTGAATCACTTTGAAGTTTTTATGAGGTGCTACCTAGCATGACCATATTGATTTATGGGAAGCTTTTATTTGCACACACCACACAATTTGTGCCATTCTGTGATATTAATTTCAAACAAAAAACCAATTATTTACATATCAAATACCGAACAGGGTTTATATCCAAATAATTGATTTTTGTTTGGAAGTTGATATTCGAAAAACAAAATGGTTTGAACTGAGAATTTATGTGGTGCCAATGCATTGGTGTAGCATAAAACGTAAGTCACAAAATTGACCCATTTTTAGGAAAATGATTCGGTGTGTTTGGTTTGAGTTTTCTGGATTAAGGTTTTTGAAAATTGAGTTTTTTGTTTTTCGTGTTTTTTTTTTTGCTCTTAGTGAATATTTTTAAAATTTTAAATATTTTTTATAGTTTTTTGGTTGCACCTTACTTAGATGTATTTAAAAAGTAAAAAATTTGTGAAAAAATATTTAAAAAATTAATAAATACATAAAAATATAAAAAATGTATTGAATTCTCGTATTTTTTAAATATTTTTGGTATTTAGTGAATTTTTGAAAGGTTTTTTTCACAATTTTTTTACTTTTTAAGTATATTTATGTTAGGTATATCTAAAAATTAAAAAAATTGTTTAAAATATTTAAAAAATTTATTAAAAATAAAAAAACACAGAAAATAAAAAAGTAGAATTTTCTGAAACAGTTTTTAGAAAAAAGAAACCAAACAATTTTCGATTAATATGAATTAAGATAAGATTGAGGTAGTTCAGATATAAGTATGTTGCATCTTATATCATTAGAAATTTGTTACTTGTCGACTTTGCTCTTTGCTCTTTTTAGAAATATTTGTCATCTATGGTTTGGAGTTATTTTTTTAAAATGTGTTTCAATTATAGTATTATTCTGTCGAATAAGGGTCTTGAATCCAATAGGAGTAGTGATATTTGCAACGGTTGTTGAAAGACCGATGCCTGGTGCTTCTGTTAACTCTGATAATTTCAGGGCCTTTTGGTAGACCAAATCTTCCTGAGTCATTCAATATTTGGCGCAAACGGGTTATCCCAAACAGGAGGGGTTGGATATTCAGTGGGAGTGTGAGCAGAAGGCTCATACTGAGGATCATATCCCAAGGGGACGTCATCATCATCATCTTCATCTTCAGATGTGGTAGGGAAATGATCAGGGAAAACCTTTAAAAAGGTTTGAAAATATGATTTTGGGAGAATGTTAAGATTTGAGAACGTCTTATTTTAATAATTTTTTAATTTTTTTATTAAAAGGTGTGTAATAAAATTAATAAAAAGAGTGATATAATAATTCATAGTGATTTTTTGACTTTTTAATTAAAATTTAAAGTTGCCAAACGAATATATTTAAAAATTAGACTTTTCATAAATTGGACTTCAGAAAATAATCATTTACTTGGTTAGACTTTTCTAAAAACACTTTTTAAAAAATTCGACATTTTTATTTTTTGTATTTTTTTATTTTCACTGAATTTTTTTTTAATATTTTAAGTAATTTTTTTTTAATTTTTAGACATACTTAACATAAATATACCTAAAAAGTAAAAAAATATAAAAAAAAACTTTTTAAAAATTCACTAAATACCAAAAATACAAAAAAAAAAAACTAGAATTCAGTACTTTTTTTTTGTATTTTTATGTGTTTATTAATTTTTTAAAATATTTTTTCACAAATTTTTTACTTTTTAAATACATCTAAGTAAGGTGCATCTAAAAAATTAAAAAAAAAATGTTAAAATTTTAAAAATAAAATACGAAAATCAAAAAACTCAATTTTCAAAAAACTTAATCTAAAAAACTCAAACCAAACACACGAATTGTATTTTTTAGATAGCCTCGTTTGGCAATATCACTTTTTAGCTTAAAAGTTAAAAGAGTCACTAAAAAAATAAAAAATCCAGCGACCGATACCAAAAAGTCAAAGATTCTATTTTCTTTTTACTTTTTGTACATCTTTTGGTAAAAAAAATTAAAATGTCATCTCAAATATACTAATTTTTTTTACATTATATTTTAGTTACAAAGTCAAAAAGTTACTAAAATTTCTTGTTCCTAAAGGAGGAGAAGATAATTATAATAACTTTTTAATTATTTTAATAATTTTTTTACTTTTTATGAAAAAAATATGTAGAAAAATAAAAAGAATAATCTAACAACTTAAAATAATTTTTTGATTTTTTTTTTTGATAAAAATGTATAATTAAGAAACGAGGAGTTGTAGTTTTTTTTTTTTTTGTTGCAGGAAAATCCTCCCTACTCTCCTGCAGGTCCAAGGCCATTGCAGAGATCACTAAGGTGTCCTGTTAGCCGTTTCGAGCGAGGAGACTATAACCTGAGAACTTGCCCCAACCTCCCAAGACAAACTCCGCTTAAGTTAGGACTTACACAGCGGGAGAGTATTGAACCCACGCCAAGTGCTGATTAGACAACTTGAGGTTCAACCTGCTAACCAACTATGCTTCGCCAAGGAGATTGACCCAAAGGAGAGGGGAATTGAACATGTGACCTTGGGGCTTAAACCCCAAGCCTTAACCACAATGTCACCCACCCTTGGGTTAAGGAGTTGTAGTTTACGCTGTCAAAAAATTGGTGGTTGTGGCGAATCAAGATCCTCTTCTTAACTTTCCTCTTTGACTCCTTACTAGTTGGGTTATTGGGCCCAAAAATTTAATTATTTAAACCGTTCATATTTTAAGATTTATTAAATATATCATACCTGTAAAAAATCAAGTTAATCGGATATCAAAAACTATGTGTTCGAATTATCTAACTAAAAATTATTTTTTAAAAAAATTTAATAAACAGTTTTTTGAACACATACTTTCTGATATTTGATCAACTTAATTTTTTATAAGTATGATATACTTAACAAATTTTAAAAAGTAAACAGTTCAGATCATCAAAATTAGAGCTAAAAGTAAGCCCAATAGCTCGGTAAGTAAAAATCCAAGTAAAAAAGTTAAGGAGAGGATCCGGATTCTTGGCCGTTGGGATTCTTGACTTCGAAAATATGAGCTATTCTAGGCATTCAAAACTCTAGGCCATTTTTGAGTGGCTAGATTCGCCTATGTTTCATTGTGGAGAAAATAAGTATAATAAATTAGCAATTGACTCGTATATTTTAAAAAATATTTGATATTACAATGTATTATAAAAGAATAATTTTAATTTTAATTTTAATTTAAAATTAAAATATGATTTTAATTATTTATTTTAATAATATTGACGCTATCGTTCTATAAAATTAAAAATACTTGAATACTTATATAAATTAATTTTAGTTAAACTATTTGTATATTTTGATAATTTTAGTTCAATCATATTATAAAAATATAATTATCATATAATAATTTTATATGATATATATTAAATTATAAAATAGTAAAACAAATACTCATTTTGATATTAAAAATAATAGTTAAATTAGAAGAAAAATTAATAACATAAAATTAAAAATAATTCTAAATATTTAATTTTCTTTTATATTCATTTGGGAAAATAAAAATATGTAGAAATAGAAATTATATAAAACTTATTAAAAAAAATTAAATATAAATATGTTATATTTAGATTATTATATAATGATTTTATATGACATATATATATATATATATATATTAAATTATAAGATTGTAAAATAAGCACTCTTAATTAAATTAAAATATCAACTATATAAAATAAATTCAACAACAGTGATCAAGAAAGAATCACATAACATACAAATTCAAAAAAGAAAAAATAATAAAAACAACTAAACGATAGATACATCCCAGTGTGTGAAGTAATTAATCATCTGTTATATAATGTCAAAATATAAAAGAACTTACTATTTAACAATTGAAAAAGTAACTTAAGCAGTAAATTCAAACTTTAGAGATTCCTCGAGAGTATCATTGTTATTAGGGATGAGCAGCGAATACACCGATTCGCCAAAACCGACCGAACCGAACCGATCCGCCGCATTTTGGACGGATACGTGATGATGAGCGGACAGTTGCAGATTGATTTTCTCCAATCCGCTAATTTGGCGGACGGATGGCGGATTTAAGATTCCTTTGGCCGCAACCGAACCGCCAAACCGCGAGCACCCCTAGTAATTTATATAACTTTGTATTTTCAATTTGTTTAAATATTTTGTTTGTGTTTTCAAATAAAAAAGAATTTAAATATTCTGTTGAAAAAAAGTTTTCAACTTGAATATATTTTTTGAATTGAAAAAAATAAACGTATTATTTATCTATATTTTTTAGTTTTTAAATCTAACTCTAAAAATAATAAATAGAAAATATGATTTATGCTAGTTAGTTTTTCTTTTCAAAAATATATATAGATGTAACAATACAGAGACATACAATCTCTACTACTACTCTGTTCATGGTTTTGATGATTTGAATTATTTTTATATTTTAATAACCACAGATTGTAATACTTTATATAGATGAATTATCCTGTTATTGTAATATGTGGATGAGGTATGCAATGATTGTGATATACTAAAGTTTCAATCTTTTTTTCTTTGGATAATGTATACAGTGATTGTAGTACTTTTTTAAGTCATTGACTGTAATATTTTCTTCTTTTTTTATTTTTTTATTTTTTTAAGAAGTGCACAAGTTGAATTATATTATTGAAAATTTATAAAATTTTAAACCGCCGAACCGATTTGCATCCATCCGCCAAACCACCAATCCGCTCAATCCACATCCGCCGGATTGGCAGACGGATGCGGATTGATTTTCTCCAATCCGCCAATCTGGCAGACGGACGGCGGATTGGAGGTTCCGTGGCCACAACCGATCTGCGCCCACCCCTAATTGTTATACAGGTCTTTCCACCT